CCAGTCGATGCAGCTCGCTCGCTTTAACCCTTCCCGTGCTGCAGATTCCTCCCACCCCACACCCCGCAAGGCCGCCCTGTGCAGATTTACCCGCGAGCAGCCCCGTCCAGCTGCATTAGAGAGGGTGGCGGCGGCGCTGTCTGGGGCTGAAGTCCGGCCCCTCCGTCCAGCCCTGGGAGGAGGAGGAATATTGATTTTTTTTTGGCAGTCCTCCTGTGTGTGCACAGACTCTAATCTGGGAGAACCGGGTTTGATTTCCCCACTTGCAGCTGCTGGATGGCCTTGGGCAAGTCACAGTTCTGACAAGAGCTGTCCTTGGAAAAGAGCAGTTTCTGCCAAGAGCTCTCTCAGCCCCACCTCCCTCACAGGGTGTCTGTCTGTTGTGGGGAGGGGAAGGGAAAGGAGTTTGTAAGCTGCCCTGAGACACCTTTGGGTAGTGAAGGGCCATGGGGTATAAATCCAATCTCCTCCTCCTCCTCCTCTTCTTGGAACAAGCCTCAACCCAGCCATTGAACACCTTCGGATGGCTACTCAGCACATCCCCTAAGTGTGCACAGACTCTAATGTGGGAGAACCGGGTTCGATTCCCCACTCCTCCTCCACTTGCACCTGGCTGGATGACCTCGGGCAAGTCCTAGTTCTGATAAGAGCTGTCCTTGAAAAAGAGCAGTTTCTGTCAAGAGCTCTCTCAGCCCCACCCACCTCACAGGGGTGTCTGTTGTGGGGAGGGGAAAGGAGGGGAGAGTGTAAGCAGTGAAGGGTGGGGTATAAATCCAGTCTCTTCTACTACTACTACTCGCGAGTAAACCTGCCCGGGAAGCGCCTGCAGGGCTCTTTCCCCGCTCTGGTGCACATCCGCAGCCCCTCCCTGGTGTCTCTGGCAATTCAAATAGCAAAGCCCCCACCCGTTCCAGAAAGAGCCCCCCCCGCTCTTGCTCGGCCTCTCCAGCGATGCGGCTCGCTCACTTTAACCCTTTCGGTGCTGCAGCCCCCGCCGCGCCGTCCTGCTGCGCAGAGTGACCCGCGAGTCGGCCCGCCCCGTCCGGGTGCACGAGAGGGCTTCGTCGCTGTCTCGGGCCGCCCGGCTGAAGACCCTCCTCCTCCTCCGTCTGCAGCACGGAAAGGGTAGGGTTAAAGGCGGCGGCAGCGGCTGGAGAGGCCGAGGAGGGGGGGGGGGCGGCTTTGCTCTTGCGTCCGGGCCCAGAGTGACCCAGGAGGGCTTCAGAGCTGCAGGATCCCGGGTAGGTTTACTGGGAAGTAAGTCGTGCGCGGGGCGGGGCGGCGGGGCTTAACCTTTGGGAGAGAGAAGGACGGCT